GACTGTTTTTTAAACATTAGTTAGCACTAAAATAACTAGAGAGAAAACCCCAATTATACTCCTTACAATTACTCATCTGATACATTTGAGTACAAAATGACACAAATAAATAAAAATCCTAACTCTGTATGACTTACAGGAAAAAGAAGAAAATCTTAACTAAATATCTGTTAAGGGTATGATAGGGATAAACAAAATCCATTATCTACCTGCATTCCTATCTACTCATTTACTGATTTACTTCTCCTCTCATCTCCTGGGTTTGTCACATGATGATTATGCATTCACTCTCTTAACTTTACCATCTTCATCTTTATGGTTTGATGATACAATCTTTGGGAGGCATCTATCATCCTATATGTTACTTACTGAGATTAAATTTAAAGCAATATTTAGAAATTTAGAAAAATATTTCCAGAAACTATCATTAGCAGGGAGGGAGCAAGTGAAAAGTTCTGTAGTCCCTTGAAAATGTGGCTCAACCAAGATCTCATTCCTTTGACACTATCTTGTTTGATTTCTATTTAAAAATAGTTTTACCCTAATCAGTTTTCCAAGGAGTGAAATAAATAAAATTGTTTATAGAAGAAAAGGTCTGTTGTAAGCAAGATGCTTAAGAAGAAGCCTGTGAACGGGAGGGACAGTAACCCCTCAGCTTGGTGGTATGTTCCAGACAATAAACTGTACATATCAACCCGGTTCACCCTGGGATTGTGTCATATCATTGATTAAATGTAGACTGTACATAAGGCTGGACAAAAGGAAAGGGTAAGATGTCACTGGAAGGGTATTACTTATCCTTAAAAACCTGAAACCTCCCTTCAGAATTAAGTTTGGGATCTGTGTTTATAGGCTGTTTTTGCCCCCACCTAGAGCGCAGGGGGAACCAATGTGATGGTGGCCAAAATTTAACTTAGATGGTTACAGTTCAGGGGCTGTATCATTTAACTTTTTAGGAAGTTCAAGAAAATACAGTTAATAAGGAGAAACCTTCAGAAAATGAATTGTTTCAGAATGTGCTTGGTTTGGTCCTGATTTAAAATGAGAAGAGGAATCTTGATTAATCAAGGAACACCTGAGTCTACTCATCTTTAGAACACAGATCCCTCTCCTTTACCATTTTCTCTGGTTTGCTCTCCTTTCACATTCTCTATCCCTCTCACTTCCCTCTCCTTATCTTCAATGCCCCCTTTCGTTCTCTGTTCTTCTCTAACCTGCTCTTTCCTATCTTGCCATTCTTTCTGGCTTTTACCTTTTCCCCTCCTCCTACCATTTTATTCCTCTGTACTGACCAGGCTTTAGGCTAAAGCCTTTCAAAAACATTCTTTAGTTCCTGGTTACAAGGGAGAAGTAGCCCTCTACACCTTGCCCTCAAAAAAAGAGACTTTTAAATGAGAATGAATTCCACAACTTCTGAGAATTTTGATTTGTATTTTCTGGCTACTGATTATTTAAATTCAAGTCCATTTCAAGTTTCCTTCATTAACTTTGTATTTAAAATATGAACATGGCCAAATTATTGTTCTCTTTTGTTCTTGAATAGAGGACATTACATCATTAGAATTCCACACATTGTATTCCTTTTCATCTCTCCTATCTAGAAAGGAAGAGAGAAAGAAAGAAAAGAAAAAAGAAAATGAAAAAGAAAAAGAAAAAAAAAAAGAAAAAAAGTCCCTTCCCAGATATCTCTCTTTACATTACCCTTTCATTTTCACCTTCTCAGGATTGCTCTCTGGGCTCTGAAAAGGTAGACAATCTACAAACTGGTTTCTATCAACTAGATGAACCAAGTTAATATATTTTGTTTCTTAGTTATTGGACCCAGGATATATATCTCCAAAGAGTATTGCTATGCCTTCGGGTGGCAGTATGTTTTTCTGAAAAACAGGTCATGATGAATTTGCACATAAAGAGTTTCTTCCATTAGTTTCGAGTCTCAGCTTATATTTCTATACCTTCTGAGGACATTCAGAACAAAATATCCCTGCCTTCTGCATAACATTATTCTCAAAAAACAAAAACAAAAACAAAAACAGACTTTTGTCATAATAGAGAAGAGAGTGGGCCCATTTCTCTCATAAGAGAAGATTAACTCAGTGGTGATCATGAAGCAATTAAAAGGAAACTTTTACCCTCTTATAAACTAATAATAATATTTCAAGTATTTGCTCTAGATGGGCTTTTCATCTATGAAAATAGATAGATAAAAAAGAAAATGGATCTTGTAACAACAACAACAACAACAATAAGAAAGGTCCATTTCTGCAATGGAGATCTACTGGAATGTATATCATACTTAAGAGAAATCTATGGTAAAGAAATGAAATTAAATAACTACAGAGAAATATTTATTCATTAATTTCAGTTTATAGCACTCAGAAAGCATTGTGGTAATATTTTTCTAATTCTATAGCTGATAACGCTTCGGAAAATGTCTAAAAACTGTATTTAATATTTTAAGGTATAGTTTTCTAAAGATTGAGAGACATTCTCAAAATGTACATAAAAGTACTGATGACTCTGGAGATACATATAATAAACATGTTCGTATATCCCTTAAGGTTATAAGATGCACTCCAAAAAAATTTAATGAAAATTAAGTTAGTATTAAAGCTTCCTCATAACTGTCAAATTTATCAGATTTAATTGTAGTACATTCCAGGATGATACGTAAAATAGAAACAGAGGTAAATATTTGAGCTACTTTTTTATTTGTTTTGTCTACCATATCCTCAAAATCAATGTTTCTAGGAGTCACAGATAACAGATAAGTCATCTTTAGCAAAGATTAAAGCACACCATTCCTTTAAATTTTCTTGAGCCCTTGAATTATCTATTATTATAGCACATTATATCCATTTCAATTTAAAAGAATATACTTTGACTATATTTGGCCAACTACTATTTCTGTTCTTTAAACACATGTCTATTTTTTCTTACTTGGGGGGATTAAATAGATATTAAAAGTAGATTCTACAAAAACAGTAATGTTGCAGGTTCAATTAATGCAGTTGTTTCTGTTAACATATCTAGCATTATCTCATTTCTTGAAAATTAGCTTTTCAATTCATTCTTCTTAGCCTACATTATACGTCCCCAAGTTCTATGGCTCTCTATGGTCCAGGTATGCAGATGAAAAGTTGTTAAAATGCTTCCTGTTTACACTCTATTTGATTAAAGAGTTAACATACACATTTATTTAAGAATTATTATATATAATTAAATGTCAAGGAGCAGTTCTGGGTTTGTTACTTACACTCCAAACAAGACAGCTGATCATTAAAGGTATGTGCCTGTGTGTGTGTGTGTTTAAAATTCTTCAACAAACTGAAAATTATGTAGAAAGCTTATAGAGGTTACTCATATTCACATGTTAAAGTATTAAAAGGGATTTCCTAAACTAGAATGGAAACAGTGTTTCCTAGATGCATTATAAAATTCTGTTGATTAGTAAGGACTGATATCATGGAGTAGGAAGTAAAGGAATCAGATGCATGCCCACTAGTACTTTGGAAAGCCTTACTTTTTAAAAGTTGTATCACTATCCTGTTTCTTCCTTTTGTACATTCCTTCCCTACTTGAAATCTTTGCAACTTATTTCAAATTTTATGAATTAAGAACAATTTTCTTGAAGCCAGTTTAAACATTTAGATATACACAAATATCATTGCAATACATTGCATACCCAATTATGAATTCCATTTAATGACCAAAACATCGTTCCTTGAGACTTTTTTTTCTCAGAATGTAGTAAAGGAACACTAGGTGGAATTCAAACCTGAAGGAATTTGTATAGCATGTCCAAGAATGGACGTTTGAAATTGACAAGAAAGGACACCTGGTAAGGCCTCTGATGTATATTTGAATTGTGTCTTTGACAAAACAGTTCCTCTTAAACCTCTGAGACACTAATGGTGTTTGTTAGCCTCAAAACAGACCTATGATCCACATCCATGTGATTACACTACTCAATATATATATATATATAAAGACTAAATTCATGCTACCATTCAGTTTTAAAATCAAAATTTGGATTCTCAAGCTTCTTATTTTTTGTATATATTTGCTACCTCAGTGAAGGAGAGATGACTTTCTTAATATTGCCATTTAATTGGAATTTAAATATTGCTATCAAATAGTTTTAAACAAATGCTTCAGAGAAGGTGCAGCATTATCTACAGTTGGGAAACATAGATTCTCACCTTGATTTCCTGTGTGATTTTAAACAATAATTTATTTCCTTGCTTCCCTTGTTTTAGTCTGAGATCAATATTTTGTTTTGGCTTCATTAGTCTCTGCTTAACTAAATAAGATTAGTGGATTATCTTATTCAAAGGTTATTCAAATATGTGAGTAATATCTAGCACTATTTATTCTTATTGTAATAAATATTGTATTATTTAGCGCTTTTTTCTTCCTAAGTAGAAATCCATTAGTATAATTGGTATACAAAGAAAAACAAATTTTTACTATAGAAAATTAGGGTTTAAGTTCAAATGCATGGTTAAAAAAATTACCATCTATCACATTCACCTTTTATCCCAGAGTTGGTACTAATCTAACGCAAAACAGTGGATCAATACGTAAAATTCAAAATAAATGTTTAGAGCATTAGGCTCAGAGATAATCTATTTGAATTCAGTGCAAACATAGCAATGCCAAATGAAGTAGATGTACTCTTTGGGCTAGCAGGGAGAATATTAACTTCATTTTTTCCCTGGATAATAATCATTACACAGAAAATATTACAATTTCCAAGTAAATGTAACATTTTTTAATGTAATTATGAAATGTTTATATCTGCCTTTTTCTACATATAGGTATGTGCACAGAAATACCATAGTAAATTGAACTAACATTGAGCAATCTATTAAAAATAGGATTAGTCCTTAAACTACATGCTACTATTCTTACTACTTTACATTTAGAAGGAAAGCAAGGCTTCATTAGTAAAGATTTGATACTGTTCTCTAAAATAAAAACACAATAACGCAACCCACCTCCCAATCCTGGTCTCAGACGATTGTCATAACCATCTAGGAGTCGGTCCAAAATTCTGGTGAAGACAGTAGTGTTGTCTTTAAGTTCATCTTGTAATGAGGGTTGTCCATAGCTGAAAAAGATATAAAGGCAGGTAATAATCTAAATTACATAATTCTATTAAAACCTTTTTCCCAAATAAAGCTTTGCCTAGATTTTCCTATCTTCCTTCCTATTGAATCTTAATTTGAAAATTCCTTCCGGCAAAGTTAAAAAAAAAAAGTCATATTTTAATTTTTACCATTTTCTCATATTTGTTATCACACATGATAAACTCTTTATTCTAATATTTCTAACTATGGAAAGAAAATTATAGGAAATGAGTTCTGTCTCTTTGCCCGTATAAATCTCAGCATGTATACAATGCTATAATGCATGTTTCCCTGGGCAAGAAGATTAATGCATGGTAAGGAGAAATAAAAAAAATCTGGCAAACTTCTTCCGAAAAAAAAAACAAAACACAAAACGTATTTATGAGCTATCAAATTAGTAGTTTTGCTTTCATTTAATGTAACGTATAGCATTAGCCTAAGATTTCACCTACCAACATTTACTTCTTTCATCCACTTTATATATATATAGATATAGATATAGAGGTAGAAATATCTACATATATCTGTATTTATTCTTTTGATGTTCTTTTAGGATATTTAGATGAGAAAAAAAATTAAAACTTGTTTCTTAGGATAATTATAGTTTCAAATCAGTGTGTAATTTCCATTCCCCTTAAGTTTTATGAACTGATTTCTACAATGTGCCTAATTCAAATCTCTAATTAAATGAGATTTTGTCATTTCTGTCTTAAAGTAAAAGATACCTTGGAAAAGATATGGTCCAATATTCTTAATTTATGGTTTATTGAACTGTAGTGTCGGATTAGTGTTTTAAGAAAACATAGCAATCTGTGAGCAGAGCTTGAACGAGAACACTGTTTTCTTCAACTTTTAGTCTAAAACTTTAGTTCTATTCTTCTATAATGGATTAATTGTTCCTATTTAAATCTTTCTAGCTTCAGGTATCATTTCTACCCCTTATCATTACTAGTCTTTGAGTTTCAACCACATAGTGACCATAGTTCAAATACTGCGCATTTCTTATAACAATCACATTATCATTTATGGTTGTTGAATCATACTTTATATAATGATTAGGATGACACCTCCAAAATCCTTTGAGAGAAGTTTTTTTATCTCAGTGGATCACACTCACTGATACATTTCAATGACAGCTCTGACCTTGAGTAAAAAAAAAATGGAGAGTGTAAACTAAGAAACGCCACAAAAATATCACTTTCATACTCTCTGTTTAATATGCTTTTGGCTTCACTCTTGTGTGTTTGTATTACTGATCAATGAAAAAATAGTAACATCCGAAACCAGGATTCACTTATTTCACAGGACTAAGAAATATAAAGAAAGCATCATTTCAAAAACAAACACTATTTTTAAAAAGGTAAGTAGTTTTATATCGTCAAAATTCAATGGCCATTTTTCTGATAAAATTTTAATTTAATAATTAAAACTATTATATCTAAAGGCTCTTCATGATGCTAAATATATGAAATTCAACTGTATGGAACAATTTCCCATTCTCCTAAATTCAACATTAATACCATACAGCTTGACAGTTTATTCTCCCTTGGCAAAATTAAACATCTTAACTAGTTTTTGAAATCAAATTTTCACTGAGCTTTCCAGGATGTCTCATTAGCAGATGATACCAGTAAAGCAAAAATAGTTGTCTAAATGTAATTACTTATAAAAAGTCTTCACAAAACGAATTGTCACACATGCATGCATCTTTCAAGGATATTGAAGGTCATCTTGATAAAGGTGGAAAAGAAATGCTAGTCCACTTTAAATTGTGAGAAGGGCCTGATCAAGTAGTCTAAGGAAGAAAGCAGCAAAATAAGAAGGTTAAAGATGAGATGGGGTAAGGGACAGAGCACAATTCGATTCTGGATACAATTCCTAGAATATGCAGTTGTCTATTACCTTTTCCTGCATTTTTTGTGTGTTGAAGCTTATACCAAATTCAGGAAAAACTTTCATCCCTGGTTTTATCTTATAAGTGCCGTTTCCACCAATTGTATACATCAGAATGCAAACGCCAAAGGAGACTTTTCCATCCCTCCCAGAAAACTAGTTCTGCTATCCCACCTGGAATAGTAATCTTTATTTCCTGTGATATTCTAATGAGGGTATTTTTCATCTCCACGTCTAATTTACTATGTCCAGTTATAACTGTCAAAGAGTAACCCCAGAAGAGAGATCAAGATTGTTTATTGCTCTTAAACACTTATGCCAATGTAAGGTTTCCTAAACAGAATATATAATTTGAAGAGAAATGTCAGTTACAGTACCTGATTTTGATTCCGAATGAACCACTCTATAATAAAATACTGTGCACTAACTCCATCTACAGGTCATTACAATAGTAACACTTCATATAATTTTTCAAAAGAAATGGAAAACATTTAACTCCTCGGATTAAGAGTATCTGGCAATAGTGGATCTCCTCTTCATCTGATAGTCATTACTTACCACACACAATAGCAAAAAATAAAAACAGACAACGTCTTAATTAAAAAAAATTTCCTAAATTCACATCTTTCCAGATTATTCCTTCTCTCTACCTTAACTTTTTAAGAGTTTACCTTCCATTACATCTCGAAGAACCTTGGGTTTTTATGTCTAATTTTAAGAGTTTACCTTCCATTACATCTCAAAGAACCTTGGGTTTTTATGTCTAAGACTGTCTTAAGGGCCACAGGAGTAGACCATGCAAGAAGTATAAAAGCAGATAAAGAAGAATCTGAAATTTTTGGTCACTTACATCACTGCTGCTACAATATGTTTATATGCTTGATTTGATCATCAGCAAATTTTCAAATATGGTTAAACATATGTTTAAATTTTTCTCATAACTTTTCCCACAGTAGTCACGCTTAAATAGAGAAGTTCAATTTTATGTAATGTTCTTCAATATTTGTTTAGTATATTCTACCTCTATTGATTATACAAAGAATGGTTTCAAAACATAATATGCACACACATTTATAGAGACTTAGGACTTTCAAATTACAAATATTATTTTAAACTTTCCACTTTCATGCAGTCACAAGTTACTCTATGATCTTTACAGTTGGCTAGAAATTTTCTTGTTGGAAAATCAACTCATAGAGTATGCAGACATTAATTGGGGTAACTTTCTCTATGAATTAGGAAACTACATATTTCATTCAGTTACAACTGAACAGTGAGAAGTTCAATTTAAGACTTAAATGTTGAATTAATACATTCCTTTAACAAAAGCGTGTTAAGTGTATTCTAACCATCATGCAAATAAGATGGCTATTTTTTCATACTGCTCTTCTTTATTCTTAGTTGGGATTTTATTACCGTTAAGTTTTTTGAATTCCCTTAGTCATGAATTCATCCAAGGACAATCTTCTTCCCCCTGAAAGAATAAATGAAAAGTTACAGAAATTATCATGCAGATTTAAAATAAAGTGCCCCCACCTTCTTCCAGTCAATGTGCTCAGAAGGAGGGTCCAGGCCCAAAGATACTCAGAGAGACCCGGACTTTTCTTCATTGCGGGCTTGTGCAGCTGAAAAGTAGAACAAGTAGAGATCAATGTCTCTTGCAAGAAACATCAGGTTATAACCACTAGGGCTGACTGAGGCAGTTCAGATGAATGCTTTGAAGTCAGGAAATGACCTCACTGGGATATGACACCTCATTGGAAGCAATGGAAACCTGGACCATCCATTCTCCACTATCCCTTCCATTTCTCCATTCAGAAATACATCAGTGTCTTAATTTCTCCTGTAAAAGAATACAAGTTGAAATGCTTTTAAGTGCCAATACTGCCCAACATAAAAACTGTTTTTTTTTTCCTTTAGGTTTTATATTTCCAATATAGTGTGAATTACTCTCTTCTTGTTGTTTATGATCTGAAAATATTGACCTTTCTGATTGGAGTTACCACGCCTGAACTGTGAATTGAAATTTTTAAGCTGGTGTCTGTAACGGGGAGAAATGTTTTGGAGCTGAGATGGGGTAGGTTAATATGCTTCAATGACTGAATTCATCTTTGAATTCTGGATGCACCTTGATTTCAGAAGCAACTGTATTTAATCTTTAAAAAAAAAAAAAAAAAAAGGAAACACACTGTTGAATGCCGAAGTCGTGCTTATGTTCTCTGCCTGTGATTGCCTTATTAAATACGCTCACTAATGCTTCTGTGAGGCTAACGGACATACTTTACAGTCAAACCATGTGCTGATCTCTCTCATACACACAAACCACACTCACATAAATGCATACAAACATGCCCACACATATCTTTTAAGCCCTCTTGAATTCTGCCAGGTTGCTGCTAGAAAATGTTTCATCTCAAACAGATGGAAGCTGGAGTGCTTTGCTTTACATGAATACGGGAATCTTTTTTCCCTCTTAGGTAAAGTGCAATCAATCACCATCTGATTGTTGAATTTTAGACTTGATAGTGGGATGCTGGAGGAAAGGAGGAGTATGGAAAGATTAAATATTTCAAAAAATTATGATCTATTTGTGGAGTCAATTTTTAAAAATCAGTGCACTACCTGGATAAGGAGCAGATATGGTAACACTTTATTTCATGTGCCATAATTAAAGGCAGTTATAACATGAGAATGCTAAAGGTATTTATTAGCACTTCCCTGAATCTATACTCCTTAGTATAGACAGTGATTAATGGATTGCATGTCTTTTAAAGCATGTTTGTCATTAACCACTCTATGGTTTAATGTGGTATGCCTTTAAGTACATCTACACAAATGCTTTCCACACTCTTGGGGATCATTTATATCAGTAAAAACCATTACAAACAGGCATGTAAACAATGAAACATAATTAATGTGTTTGGAGTAAAATGGTCTAGATCTACAGATAAGAGCTGTGAGCTTCATAGTTTTTACTTAATTTAGTCACTGGTTTTGGCACGGACGAGAAGAAATATTGGATAAATATCATTATGTTAAAATATTGCATCTAAATTGCACATTTATAATTCACCTTTGCATTAATCTTCAACATGTTATGAAAGAAAAGCAACTTCTCTTGCCCTATTAATAATTATTGGTCTTTATAAAAAAGGGGGGGGGTATTCCCGAAGGGGTAAACGAAATAAAATCCCAAGACAAGGTACCATAGCTTTTTGTCCTCCTCTGGCATTTTAAAGAGAAAAACAAACCTATCATGGTACTCGAGTTGTTGAGTAAGAAAGTTTCTTGCAAATACAAACATAATAGTTTAAAAGAAATGCTAAGCTGCCTCCTTACCCTTTTCCACCTTCCCCCACCAAACGCACACCCTCCAAACACCCATATCCCATGCCACTCATATCAAATGGTAAGTTGAGTTTTTCATGTTCAGAACCAGAGAGACCCCTACACCAGAGGGCATTTTAGCAGCGTCCACTGGAAAGGAGAAAAGAGGCATTTTTGCAGACAGAATGTGAGAGTGCCTTCCATAGGACAGAACATTGACAGGTTTTCTGTCCCAGCGTCTTAACTTTAGATGATGCCCCCCAAAGCCCCTCCCCAGCTCATCCCAGCACCCTCTTGAAAAAAAAAAAAAAAAAAATCAAAACAACATGTCACCACCCACCCCACGGAATAAATTCATATCTGCCTAAGAATGAGAGAAAGAAAAGAAGAGATATAGAGGGGCAAAAATAATGCTTCTCTATCGCTGCGGTTTTCACCCTGAAAGAAAAACATTCGTTGTTTCTACCTGCTATGGGATCGGGCTCTTGTCCTGTTCCTCTTTCTCTTTTTTCTCCAGCATTCCTGTCTCTCCAGCTAGGAAAAGCAACGTTCAAAGCTCAGTGTGTAGTGGTCTGAAGCCGCACTTACCTCGGGCCCCCTCTGGGCACAGGATCGCTCAAGACCCGGGAAAAGTGTGCGAGAGAAAATCGCGGAGAGCCTGGAACCAGCGCGAGTCCGCGAGTCCGGGCGCGCCGGGAGCGGAGGGGCGTCCTCGCTCTGCCTCTCACTCACTCGGTCTGAGCCATCATGGACTCTGTGTGCTCCTTTGCTGAAGATTTCACACCCAAATTTGCTTCCCAGTATCCGATCTGCAGCTATACAACAAAAGATTTCTCTTTACCAAGACAGTAGTAATACGTCCCAGGGCAAACCGGATGTGAAATAGGCGGTGACTTCATGCCAGAGAGATTTTATTTTAGAAAGGAAGGTGGTACCAGCCTCTGGATCTGGAGACCAATCCGCCCATTTTTTATATGCAGCACAATTTAACTTGCACCGCTCTGGCCCTAATCCCCTTCTCTCTGGCTGCAGACTCAAATCCTTCTACAATCTGCTGCAAGCTTTCCTTTTTTTTTTTTTTTTTTTGGTGGGGAGTAGAAATGGGGGAGCAAAGGGTAGACAGGGTTAGAGACCCAGGGACTCTACTCAGAACCTTTTCATACTTTCAATTTATGAACACTATTTTAAGGTGTGCCCATTAAAAAAAAAAAAAAACTCATCAGTGTAACTAATCCTTTGATCAAAGATTCAACCACTGCATGCATATGAATGAATGCAGGGAGCTGCAGGGTTGCACATGTGGAAAGCCACTGTCCTCTCGCCTGTCTCCCTCACACGCACTCCCACACACATGTCTGAGTCCCTGGGTCTTGCGGAGTCACGAAAAATGAGGGATGGCGGGGAAGAGTTCTGACCAGGAGGGAACTGGCCACCGGGTTTCGAGGCTTTCGCACTTTCACAGGTTGTGAGCGCTTTTCACCCCACCTTCGTCTGTAGCTTAGAGGGCAGCAATAAACGCGCTCCGGAACCGCGTTTTTAATCTCTGGAGGCAGCTGTTTGTCTGTTTACGTTATGAAGGAGAAAACACGGGCTCCTTTAAGTAAGAATTGTGCTGGGTCCCTACGACGAGGAGTATTTAACTTTAAATAAAGCACCCAGATCATTTCTAGGTTTGAGAGTCATAGCTCCATTTCCGGAATCATTCCCTCGCCTCGAACTCCATCATCCTCCGGATTAGGAAAATGGGAGAGGGGGAGGAGAGAAGATTAACAAAAAGATTTTTAGAAGTCAAGACAAAACCGTCTTCTACTTTTTTTTTTTTTTTTCCCCTCCTCCCTGCCCTCTTCTGTTACCCTCCCTGGTGGCTCTCCACCCACGAATAAACTATACACTTAGGGAAGGAGGGTGTATTTCAACATCAATCTAACTAAATTTTCAACGAGCCAGGGGCGACTGAGTTCTCTCTTCGGATTTTGTGAATGGGTGTTTGTAGCACAGAAGAAATGGGTGTTTCTGAAATGACCCGAAGCTCTGGAAACTGTCCCTTCTGTACTTGCGCTAGACTAGATAGGAGGCGCTGAAAAGATAGGGTGCCTTCAGGAATTTCTTCTGGTGAGGAAGGTCTGACCTTTGAGCTCCCTAGTCATTTTGACCACGAAGACTTCTAGCAGAGGAGACTTTTTTTTTTTTTTCTTTTAAATAGGGGCGGAGCTTGGCAAGGAGAAGAAAAAAACCCTAAATGGCAAGTCTATACCACTCACTGGTTTTTTATGCTGGAAGCCTTCCTTGACGTTGTGCTGCAATGCAATCAGCTTAGGTGGTTAAAACATAGGACAGGTAATTGAAAATAAACTTATCTTATTGAAAAAAATGAAGGAAAATAAAAATGATGACCACATGCAGATTTGGGCTTGGTTATCATGAGTTTTGAAAGGGAAATGTTACTGGGAAATTATTTTAGAAATAAATCTTCAAGGAAGAGAGATTTAAAGACCATCTTATGTTGCCTACTCTGTTCAGATAGGACAAAGATCAATGCATTCTTAAAGATATCCATTGAGGATCATATCTTCCCTATATGAGAGTCCTCAATTTTTATTTACTTATGTACTTATCCATTAATCACTTACTTCTTGAGCAGTTCTGAGAATTAAAACTCACTTCAGCAATATTCTGAAACCCTGGGTTAACAATTTAAAAATATTGTTTTCTTATCTGACCATTTAAAATGCAATTCCATTGTTTTCCTTTGATTCAACAAAGACTATTCAACAAAGACTATTTCTAGATAGTCCTAGAAATGTAATCTTTTCATCTTTCTTCCTCCTGGTAAAACTGTCACAGCTCCTTCTACTCTCCTCCGCAAATGGAAATAACTTTAGATCCTACATCTAATGCCATACAATCAAATCACTCTACTGATTATGTTTTTTTCAGTTACTGAAACGTTATCATTTGCACCATAATCTCTGAAAACAATGCCAATCACATCTTTCTTCAGATTAAATATTATGTGACTATCCAATAGGATGCAACTGCACAGCATTTCCATACATTTTAAGACAAATATTTAGAAATAAGATTGGATTTATCTTAAAACTGCAGTTAAAACTACAGGAATGGAAATGTCCATACTATGATTTTCTAAGTAAAACAAGGCAGTTTTTACTAGATGATCTATGTATGATTTGTTTTGAGACATATGTTTTAAATAAATGAATTTAATAAATAGTGGCCATTTAAAACATTGATAATTTGACTACTCCAAAAACAGCAATTGCAACTTTAAATTATCAGTGTATTTATTAGTTCCCATCAAGGTATCATTAACATATGCACATATTACCAACGAATAAATATAAGAAAAATATAAGAAATTAATGACAAGGAAATAATTATTTTATATTGTCTTGTTATATTGAATTTTTTAGATCATTGGTGACACTCTTGTTTTTTCCTCTACCTAGGGGAATAAATTCCTTCAAACTGTGTGTGCAACTTATATCTGATTGAAGTAAGTTTTTATAATAGTAGTAACCATGATATTTAGTATTCTTAAAGTGTTTACTTGGTGCCAAGTAATGTGCTAACAAACTTGCATAAACCATTCTATTTAATTCATAAAACATGTCTGTGAGAGATAGTCTTAATATACCTGCTTTACTAATCATCCAATAAATTATGGGTTAGAGAGAGTGAGATTTGCCAAAGGTCACATAGGTAGTGAATGTTCGTGCTATGCAAACCCAGATCTTCTGACTTCAAAACTTATTTTCTTGACCACCCTTCTACATTACTTTATTTCCTTAATTACTATAAGTTGTAAATTCACGTTAAAATCTGTTTTATTCATCTTACATCTATGCTTACTATCTTCATATCAGTTACATAAAACCTATCTCTGAACATTTTAAAAAAATATTTGTTCAGGGGATGCCTGCGTGGCTCAGGTGGTTAAGCCACTGCCTTTGGCTCAGGTCATGATCCTGGAGTTCCAGGATCGAGTCCCACATCAGTCTCCCAGCTCTGTGGGGAGTCTGCTTCTCCCTCTGACCTTCTCCCCTCTCATGCTCTCTCTCTCTTCCTCTCTCAAATAAATAAATAAAATCTTAAAAAAAAATTGTTCAGGACAAGATTCTTCTTTTGCTGGTCTAGTGCCTTAAACTGCAACACAGGGTCACGTTTGCTTCAGTGTTTTGTAGGTTTCTGCTATTTTCCTTCTTACAAGGCCACTCTCTCAAAGGACCTCCAAACCCTCACTGGTTGTAGGCAGAAGGGATTTGAGGTCAAACCTAGGACCACAGATCCTGGGGAGGCCTAACAGCTCTATTTCCAGTGTTGCAGTCTGGTACATTTTGCTTTTTCTGTCAATTTTAAATGGCAGGAAGCCCTGACCTAATTGAAGAAGTGGTACTGATTCTTTTCAACAGAAATGTTTTTACTTTCTCCAACTAAATGTGAACCAAATGAGAAAAAAAAAAATAGCAAGAGTATTCTTATTAATTCAGTGTGGCTTTTTATCATTTATAAAATAATTTGGGGTGAGGGAGAAGAAGCAGCAAAAATAATGAAATATCAAATAAGTATCAACCGAAACCTAGAATAAAGTGGTCTTTTTAAATGTCTTTGCATAGCTTAGATATGGGTTCTGCCTACATTTTAACATGTAGGAAGCCTGGTTATCAATCTGCAACAATAATGTACAGGTTGCAGTTAAACATGATGCCACCTACATTTATTTATATATACAGTTGGATATTAAAATGGAATTTTTACACTCACTAAACTAGTCCCCCTTTTCTAATACTCCTATTTATCATACAGACCATCTTGCTAATGAACTATATGAGCACATCCAGAGGGCTATACCTTCTATTCTAGTTGGTACTGAAATAATAGCTCAGTGGGAAGAAGAATTGTGATTTAAGTAAAAGAGCACTTTTTGTACTTTCACCTAGACACCTTTGTCATCTGGGTTACTTAGACAAATTCTTTTTTCCCATACTAGCAGGCTAGTTTGACATCTCAGCATAGTGAGAAACAGAGTATGTATAATAGAAATAAAATCAAAATTTTCTCATATTTGTGTCATAAATATTTGGCACTCTAGAGGGATTTAAAGATTGTCTGCCCCAACCAATTTAACAGATCAAAGATGATGTAATTTTTCCTGTGATCTTTGTAGAAGGAGAACTCGGGTTAGCATGGCACAGTGATTGCCATGCATGGATATATATCTGAAGTCACTGGTATGTAACAGCTTCATGACGACTGATATATTGCTGAACTTTTCTGAACCTTATTTTCTGAAGTTTTAAAATGAGGTAATGTTAGGGGCACCTGGGTGGCACAGAAGATTAAGTGACCGACCTTGGTTTTAGCCCAGGTTGTGATATCAGGGTAGTGAAATCAAGCCCCACATGGGGCTTCATGCTCAGCACAGAGTCTGCTTCAGATTCTCTCCTTCTGCTCCTCTCACTCATGGTCTCACTCTCTAAAATAAATAAATAAATATTTTTAAAAAATAAATTAAATGAAGTAATGCTGCCTCATTTGCTGATTGTGGCGTTATATGGGAAAACAAATACGAATCACATAGTCTTCTTGTATACACCTAGTAGGTGCCCAATGAAAGCCACTTTCCTTCTCTCTCTTCTATCTCAATACAAATTCACTATTTTTCAAGCACTATAGTACACTCTTAACAGCATATTCATATAGCACAACAATTCTATTATCCCTATTACACATTGGATTTAACTGAAACATAAAACCCCCAGTTATTAGACAAGATATCACAACAAGCTGGCTTACATGCCAGGCTTAATCCTAGGCCCATACTCATCTCTAAGGTGCTCTGAGAAGAATGCTTCTCACTACACCTGCCTTAAGCACTATTTTTTTTTAAGATTTTATTTATTTATTTGACAGAGAGAGATCACAAGTAGGCAGACAGGCAGGCAGAGATAGAGGGGGAAGCAGGCTCCCCACCGAGCAGAGAGCCCGGCGAGGGGCTCGATTCCAGGACCCCGAGATCACGACGCGAGCAGAAGGCAGAGGCCCAACC